TGATGTGGTCTGCTAGCCAGTAAAAATTTGCAGCCAATATTTCCTCCTTGATTGGATTCAGTGGGCATTTTGTCCTCTGCTGCACCCCTTTGGTTGCAAGAGGCAGCAACAGGAGGAGTGTTATCATTCTGGATCTACCTGCTACGCTTTCCTTATAGCTGTTCCACCAAATATTAGCTGATGGTCTTAATAAGGATAAGGATACTACTACTATATTATTTATACCCTGCCTATCTGGCTGGGTTTCCCCAGCCGCTCTGGGCAGCTTCCAACAAAATATTAAAATATAATAGTCTGTTAAACATTAAAAGCTTCCCTAAACAGGGCTGCCTTCAGATTTCTTCTAAAAGTCTGGTAGTTGTTTTTCTCTTTGACATCTGGTGGGAGGGCGTTCCACAGGGTGGGTGTCACTACCGAGAAGGCCCTCTGCCTGGTTCCCTCTAACTTGGCTTCTTGCAGCGAGGGAACCGCCAGAAGGCCCTCAGTGCTGGACCTCAGTGTCTGGGCAAAGGATGGGGGTGAAGATGCTCCTTGAGGTAAACTGGACCGAGGGCGTCTTTCCTGGAAAGCCAGTCAGTCAAAATTTCTGATCTAGAAGGCAGCATCACACAGATGTAGCTTCCCACTTCACCTGCTCTATGTCTTGGCCCCAAGGATTTGTGTCACTATATATATATATAAAATACATCCAACCTTTCAGGCACCGTTGAATAAAAAACTTCCTGCTGCCCTTAATTGCGATATTTACCTTATTGGTCCCAAAGGCAATATTCAACAGGTGAGGTGGGGGCTACTTGGACTCAGGAAAGAATAAAAATAGGTCACTGTGATTGTGATTATTGTTAAGGGAATAAAGTTGTCCCCTGCAACTTTATGGGAGCAGGTGCAGGGCAGGAGAAAACATGTTTACTCAATAGGCTGCCACGGATCATGAAGGGTGAAGGTGACTTTGGCAAAACATGATTGACATCAGAAGAGCCTTGATGTTGGATTAGGCCAAAGGCCCACAATGTCCAGCATCCTGTTCTCACAATGGCCAACCAGTTGACACAAAGGGAAAGCCACAAGGTGGAGATGCCATTTTCCTACCTCCAAAGGAGGAGCGATAACATAGTGGTTAAGAGTGGTGGACTCATAATCTGGTGAACCGGGTTCGCTTCCCTGCTCCTCCACATGCAGCTGCTGGGTGACCTTGGGCTAGTCACACTTCTCTGAAATCTCTCAGCCCCACTCACCTCACAGAGTGTTTGTTGTGGGGGAGGAAGGGAAAGGAGAATGTTAGCCGCTTTGAGACTCCTTAGGGTAGTGATAAAGCGTGATATCAAATCCAAACTCTCCTCTTCTTCTCTGCCCTGGTTCCCTGTAACTTCACTTGTTGCAGTGAGGGAACCAGCAAAAGGCCCTCAAAGGGGGACCTCAGTGTCCAGGCAGAATGTCTGAGTGTAGATGTTCCTTCAGGTATACATGGCAGAGGCCAGTTAGGTCAGCACCAACACTTTGAATTGTGCTCAGCAATGTACTAAGAGCCTCTGAAGATCCTTTAGGACCGATGCTATATGGTCTCGGCGGCCACTCCCAGTCAACTAGTCTAGCTGCCGCATTGTGGATTAGTTGTAGTTTCCGAGTCACCTTCAAGGGTAGCCCCATGTAAAGCACATTGTAGTAGTCCAAGCGGAAAATAACCAGGGCTTGAACCCCTCTGGGGAGACTGTGGGCAGTTAGGGTCTCAGTCAGTATCTTAAAAAGTTCATACAAATTTACAAATAGTTTATGAGAAGAGAGATGAATTTGGCAGATGATTCTTGATGAGGATGAAAAATGCAAGACTAGGAGAAAACTAGGGCATGGAAGGACATGACTGAAGTTTTGGTTTTGGACTGGACATGGACATTGATTTTACATAGTCAGGTAAGAGACAAATGGTCTCAGAAAATTAAAGTTGTCAGACTTGTAGATAAAGAGAACTTGGTAAAGTTTTGTGACATCTATAGCAATTGTCCATAGAAGATCCCAGGGCTGTTCAAAAGGGGAATTCAAATCAGGCGCACCGAGTTCTACCCAATATTATGGGTGCCCAGTGTGTACTTCCATAAAGAAGGCTGATCACCGAAGAATTGATGCTTTTGAATTATGGTGTTGGAGGAGACTCTTGCGGGTCCCATGGACTGCAAGAAGATCAAACCTATCCATTCTTAAGGAAATCAGCCCTGAGTGCTCCCTGGAAGGACAGATCCTGATGCTGAGCTCCAAGACTTTGGCCACCTCATGAGAAGAGAAGACTCCCTGGAAAAGACCCTGATGCTGGGAAAGATGGAGGGCACAAGGGGGAGGGGACGACGGAGGACGAGATGGTTGGACAGTGTTCTCGAAGCTACCAGCATGAGTTTGACCAAACTGCGGGAGGCAGTGGAAGACAGAAGGGCCTGGCGTGCTCTGGTCCATGGGGTCATGAAGAGTCGGACACGACTAAATGACTACACAACAACAAAAGTGTGTACTTGTGACGTCATGTGTGTTTGTGATGTCACATCTTCGCTGCAAAAGGCAGGTCTGACATCTCCAATGTTGGACCACCCTAAACTTCCCACAATTCTTCCTCCCTTGTGCTGAATGGCTTTTCATCAGGTGTGAACATGCCATGTCTTGTTTTTGTTTATCTGACCCAGTAACTTGGAATTGGATCCATTTTACGTTCATTGGACACATGACCACCTATTGTAAATATTCATACCCTTACCACGCTGGTTCTTTAAGGGGAGGAGAGACCCTTTTTCTCTCCCCTTCTCTTATTGCTGTTTGGCTCTGCATTAAGCTGCTTCTTCTGCTGCTGACCACTAGGTGCCATCCCTTTTGCACCTCATCCATTAACAACTCTGCTGCTGGATAAAGTGAGTAGACCAAGCCAGCAATAATGGGAGCTCTTAGTTAAGATGAAATTCTCAACTCTGCCCCTTCTATCACTATTAGACACTCAGGGCCTACTTTGCTTTACCCAAGCTTCTAGTTAAACCAGAGCCTGGTGCAAAATAATGACAACTACGGGGAGGAGCATCATAAGAACATCAGATGAGCCCTGCACCTATGTTGGGATGAATAAGGCTAATATAGTCCAGCATCCTGTTTTCACATCAGCCAAACAGATACTCAAAGCATGCCTGTAAGCACACTGGACCTGATTTCTGCAGCAATCTCCCAATGTGTAATTCAGAACTAAGGTCCAGGATTCCTCTGAGCACATACTCACATCAGGAATTTATTTTTAGCACCAGAATTTGGGATTATATTGTAGTCACACAAAATTACATTCCTAATTCCCATCAATTTATCCTTACTGAGCAACCTCATTGAGGGATATGGTGGAGAAGGCCTTTTTTGTTGTTTGTTGTGCAGGATTTTAATTCAGGGTCACCCCTCTAATGGTGTGAGATTAATCAAACTGAGATGTCTGACTGCGGGCAGCAATCGTACAGATTCTAGACAGATGAGGGGCTTGTCAGTTATTAAGACCATACAGAAAGACACCAGAAATAATGTCATAAAAGGAGATTTTACTTCAAGAATTAGAGTCTGAAATACAGGGAAGAAATCTGAAGGAACCAGCATGAGAGATCAGTATAAATTGACACATGCAAAGCAGCAAAGGTATTTCCAGAGAGACGGATTATGCCCAGGTGCAGCTATTTCTGAAGAGCAGACAATCACTTGACTTAAATACACTTGGTGCTATACTTTGAAATTGTTAGCATTGAAAATCAAGCATCATTTGTGATATTAACTTGTTGGCAAAGAAACGAGAAAATGCCTACATGAGGCCATTATCACATGCATACCGATATTCTCTAGATGAAACAAAACTTTAGCCAAGTTCTCTTTATGTCCAAGTCTAACAATTTAATTTTCCTGATACCACTCATCTCCTTTCTTACTATCTAAAAACAATGTCCATGTCCATGTCCGGTCCAAAACCAAAACTTTAGTCATGTCCTTCCATGTTCTGTGTTTTTCCTAGCCTTGCATTTTTGATCCTCATCAAGAGCCTTCTGCCAAAACCATCTCACTTCTCATAAACTATTTGTAAATGTGTATCAACTTTGTAGATACCGGCTGAGACCCTACCTGCCCGCAGAACGTCTCCCCAGAGTGGTGCAGGCCCTGGTTGTCTCCCAGTTGGACTACTACATTGTACTTTACGTGGGGCTACCCTTGAAGGAGATTCAGTGACTGCAACCAATCCACAATGCGGCAGCTAGACTGGTTGATTGGGAGTCGCTGCCCAAACCGTGTAACATTAGTCCTAAAGGATCTTCACGGGCTCCCAGTACGTTTCTGGACACAGAGATTTAGCTACGAGGGCCTTCTGGTGGTTCCCTCACTGCGAGAACTGAGGTTACAGGGAAGCAAGCAGAGTGCCTTCTCAGTTGTGGCACATTCACTGTGGAACACCCCGCCCCATGTCAACGAGATAAAGAATTACATAACTTTTAGAAGGCATCTGAAAGCAACTCTGTATCAGGAAGTTTCATGTTTTATTATGTTTCAATATGTACTGTAAGCCTCCCAGAGTGGTTGGAGAAATAAAATATTACTATTATTATTATTAGAAGTAGTAGTGGTACCGTAATAAAGATTGATTGATTGATTGAATATGTACTGTAAGCCGCCCAGAGTGGCTGGAGAAAATTATTATTATTATTATTATTATTATTATTATTATTATTAGACGTAGTAGTGGTATTAGTTATATTATCAGAATCCCATACGACTTTTAAAGATATCCCTATGTACCCAGTTTAATATCATTTTCTTCTAATTTAGCTAAGTACATTTTGTACTTTAGTAATTCAGTTTGAAACTTCTTAAGCAGCTTATGGAATCCTGCTATGGGTCATGAACAGTTTTACTCCAGTTGAGATTGTGGCTGGGACTTCCAGCTGTACAATTTTATGATATCCCTAGAACTAAGGATCAAATGTCATATTTAGTTTTTTGTTGTCAGGTGCTCCTTTGTGTTCAAATCAGGCCTCAATATAATAATGTAGCATTTGGGGATGAAGATGCAGCCCAGAAGCCCAGCACTGGAGGCCAAGATAGAGAAGATCTGCACGGCTACCATGAATTTTCCCTTTGTGCTCAGGTAGGTGGGAACAAAGGACACCCAAACACTGCAGAAGACCAGCATGCTGAAAGTGATAAGCTTGGCTTCATTGAAGGCCCCAGGAAGCTTCCTGGCTAGGAAAGCCGCAGTGAAGCAGATGGCAGCCAGGAAGCCCATGTAGCCAAGGGAACTGTATAACATGGCAACAGATCCTTCGTTGCATTGGACAATGATCTCTCCAAGCTGGGAGCTCAGGTCAAAATCTGGGAATGGAGGAGAGATCCCCAGCCAGATGGTGCAGATGAGAACTTGCACGCTGGAGCAGGAAATGACAATGGAGTGGGCCAAACTCTTCCCCAGCCATCTCCTCACCTTGTTCCCTGGCTTAGTGGCCAGGAAGGCCAGGACCACAGTGATGGTTTTTGCCAAGACAGAAGAGACAGCAACTGAGAAGATGATGCAGAAGGCTGTTTGTCGGAGAAGGCAGGTCACTTTCCTTGGCCTCCCAATGAAGAGGAAGGAGGACAAAAAGGAAAGCAGGAGGGAGACGAGGAGGATGTAGGAGAGGTCCCGGTTGTTGGCTTTGACTATGGGAGTTTCGTTGTATTTAATAAAGATTCCTAAAACAAATCCTGTGGTTAAGGATAAGGAGAGAGCAAGGGAAGTCAGGAGGCTCCCCAAATATTCTTCATAGGATAGGAAGGTAAATATTTTGGGGACACATTGATGTCTATCCTCATTTGGATGCTGATCTTCTGGACATCTGGTGCATTCATTAGCATCTGCAGAGAGGAAAACACCCTTCAGTATCCTAACATCAGTCACACACCTGAAATTTGCTGACAGCACTATGGCATTTGGTGATTTCTCAGAAGGAAAAACTATGGAGAAACCTAGTCTGAATAGAGACAATGGATTCATATCTCATTACACATGCTAAACTATTTTTGGTCACCTGCATACTGTCTCTTGCTTTTTTCCTGTATGACTAATTGTAGTCGTTATCAGTCTTCAGCAGGTTTACCCATTGAGCTAATCAGCCATGCCCTAGTACCCTTATGAGAAATACCCACCCCACCCTACCACTATATATAAGGGTCTGGTGACTTCTGTTTCAGAGTATCTGAAGAAGTGTGCATGCACACCAAAGCTCAGGCCTAGAACAAACTTAGTTTGTCTCTAAGGTGCTACTATTTTATTTTATTTCCAGTGCTATTTTCTAGAAAAAGAGGTGCCTGTCAGCGAATGGTCTGAATCAGAGGATTGGGGAATGCATTCTCAGGTAGATCAGCTCCTCTCTGAAGAGGGAGAGACACAAACACTGCACAGATTAGAACAGAGTTACCTAGCTACGAGATAATGGAAAGAGAACAGAAGGGAGGGAACAGCCAGCAAGGATGTCATAGGAGAGTGTGGGGGACCCTCCCTCCCCACAAACTAAGAAGTCCATACGTATTAGAGAACAAAGGATGCAGAGAGCAGGAGGAACTTCTTCTTGGCACCAGGATGTCGTGGGGGGGGGGTGTTTAGAAGGGGGAGGATTTAGAGTAGCCAACTGCTCTCCTTGTGGAGGGATGCGGATCTTTGCTTGTAACCAGCTGACGGAATAAAAAGAGTATAAATTATAAACGGTTCATTAATTCTTATCTGTGCAGTTACCAAAGGGAGGTGAGGACTGTCCACACCTGACAGTGTTTGAACTCATCATGAATGCCTCCATTGTTCTCTGAGAATGCCTATGGTCCCCACCTGACAGATGATGGAACTAGCCATTACTAACATCATGTTTGCAGTAGTTCAAATATCTGCCCCATCCTCCCATCAAAGGCCATTTTCTCTGAGTTCCTCTCCTACCTTCCTGAGTGGAGATGGTTACTTCTGAGCAGGGAGAACAATCATAGCAGCAGGGCGGCTTCCCTTCCTGAACTTTTCTGGAATATCCAGGGAGACAGCTTTCTGTGCATCTTGATCGAGGTACGGTCTAGGCATGAAGAGAAAATTGAGCATTAAGAAGAAAGTGAAAGGTGTATTTATGCCTTGGGACACAGATAATAGAATTTTGGAAGGATCCTGGAGAGGAGATATTTGCTTCCAATAACCTCAGGTGACCGCAGACCATATTTTGGGCAGTTACTTTTTTCTTTGATTTTTTGCAGAGCTGCATGGCAGAGAAACCTTTTAGGTTCTTCTGATCCCCCCACCTTTAACACTGAAATGGAATTGTTTGCAAATATATTAGCCAATAGATTAAAAAAAATACTAAATGAATATATACATCAAGATCAAGCAGGGTTTTTAGCAGGTAGACAAATGAAGGAGAATATAAGAAATATTTTGAATATAATAGAATACCTGGAGGCTAAAAATGAAAGGAAAGCGGCAATGATGTTTATAAATGCTGAAAAAGCCTTCGATAATATTTATTGGAAATTCCTGACAAAGTTTTTAGAACAAGTTAGATGTGGTTCTAAATTTTTTAAAGGAATAGCAGCAATTTATTCAGAACAAAAAGCAGAATTAATTATAAATCAGGTGATAACGGACGATTGTAAGATTCGGAAAGGAACAAGACAAGGATGCCCATTATCACCACTACTATTCATCCTGGTACTGGAAGTACTTGCCAGAAATATAAGAGCAGACAAAGAAATTATAGGTGTAAAAACTGGGAAAAGTGAGTTCAAGTTAAAAGCATACGCAGATGATTTAGTGATAACAGTGGAAGAACCCAAAACGTCACTCCCTAAAGTAATAGAAAAGATTCAGAAATTTGAGGAAGTTGCAGGATTTAAGTTAAATAGGAATAAAACGAAATTATTAGTTAAAAACATGAAGGAAGAAGAAAGAACCGAATTAGAACAAAACATTGAGATTGAAGTCCATAAAAAAGTTAAATATTTAGGGATTTGGTTAACATCAAGAAATATAAACCTATTTAAAAATAACTATGAAAAAATTTGGCTTGAGGTAAAAAGAAATGTAGAAATATGGAGCAGAATGAATCTCTCAATGTTAGGAAAAATATCAGCGATTAAAATGAATGTGTTGCCAAAAATGCTATTTCTTTTTCAATCAATATCAGTCATCCTGAAAGATGAATGCTTTAAAAAATGGCAGAAAGAGATTTTAAGATTTATCTGGGGGGGGGGGGGCAAAAGGCCAAGGATAAAACATAAAATACTTACAGATGTCAAAGATAGAGGTGGGTTTGCCCTCCCAGATCTTAAATTGTATTACGAATCTGCTTGTTTGGTATGGATCAGGGACTGGATGAGATTGGACAAGCAAGAGGCATTAGAACTAGAAGGACATGACAACAGATTTGGCTGGCATGCATACTTATGGTACGGGAAAGGGAAGATTCATAGACGCTTTTACAACCATATAATCAGGAAATCATTAAGGAGAGTATGAGAGAGATACAAAGACTTATTGGAACAAAAGACCCCGTGGTGGCTTTCACCACATGAAGCATTACTGCTCAAACCACTTGGAAAAAAAGGAAAATGGCTCCCATATGTTGACTTATTAAAGGACCATGATGGAAAATGGAAATTAAGAGATCTCATCATAGATCAAAGTTCATTTTCAGAGTTAGTTGCATTATCGACAATTATATGAAACATAAGGAAGACAGCAAGAAAGGATTCAGCTATACAAGATCTAGGTTTCAAATAGAAGTGATCAAAGGGAAAGTGAAACTATTGAAGGCCGCATACAGTATACTGGTAGAATGGGAGATGAAAGACAAAGAGGTAAAATTAGTCATGATCAAATGGGCACAAGATATAGGTCATAACATCATGATGGAAGATTGGGAAAGGTAATGGGGGGAGGGGGAAATCCCCTTCATGGATCACTGCCTTGCTGTGGCAAAGGGGCTTGAATAACTCAGAGAAGCTATGAGCTATGCCGTGCAGGGCCACCCAAGATGGACAGGTCATAGTGGAGAGTTTTGACCAAATGTGATCCACCTGGAGCAGGAACCGGCAAGCCACTCCAGTATCCCTGCCAAGAAAACCCCATGGACAAAGACAACAGGCATATAAAAGTTATGATGCTGGAAGATGAGCCCTTCAGGTCGGAAGGCGTCCAACATGCTACTGAGGAAGAGCGGAGGACAAGTACAAGTAGATTCAGAGCTGATGAAGCAGCTGGGCCAAAGCCGAAAGGACGCTCAGTTGCGGATATGCCTGGAAGCGAAAGGAATATGGAAGCGGATATGCCTGGAAGCGAAAGGAAAGTCCAATGCTGTAAAGAAAAATATTGCATAGAAACCTGGAATGTAAGAACCATGAACCTTGGTAAGTTGGATGTGGTCAAAAATGAGATGGCAAGAATAAATATTGACATCCTGGGCATCAGTGAACTAAAATGGACGGGAATGGGCAAATTCAGTTCAGATGACCATCATATCTAACTAACCTGATCAGACTAACCTGATCTTGTTTTTTGACAGAATTACAAGCCTGGTAGATGAAGGGAACGCAGTGGATGTAGCCTACCTTGATTTCAGCAAGGCATTTGACAAGGTGCCCCATGATATTCTTGTAAAGAAGCTGGTAAAATGCGGTCTTGACTATGTTACCACTCAGTGGATTTGTAACTGGCTGACTGACCGAACCCAAAGGGTGCTCATCAATGGTTCCTCTTCATCCTGGAGAAGAGTGACTAGTGGGGTGCCACAGGGTTCTGTCTTGGGCCCGGTCTTATTCAACATCTTTATCAACGACTTGGATGATGGACTCAAGGGCATCCTGATCAAATTTGCAGATGACACCAAACTGGGAGGGGTGGCTAACACCCCAGAGGACAGGATCACATTTCAAAACAACCTTGACAGATTAGAGAACTGGGCCAAAACAAACAAGATGAATTTTAACAGGGAGAAATGTAAAGTATTGCACTTGGGCAAAAAAATGAGAGGCACAAATACAAGATGGGTGACACCTGACTTGAGAGCAGTACATGTGAAAAGGATCTAGGAGTCTTGGTTGACCACAAACTTGACATGAGCCAACAGTGTGACGCGGCAGCTAAAAGAGCCAATGCAATTCTGGGCCTCATCAATAGGAGTATAGCATCTAGATCAAGGGAAGTAATAGTGCCACTGTATTCTGCTCTGGTCAGACCTCACCTGGAGTACTGTGTCCAGTTCTGGGCACCACAGTTCAAGAAGGACACTGACAAACTGGAACGTGTCCAGAGGAGAGCAACCAAAATGGTCAAAGGCCTGGAAACGATGCCTTATGAGGAACGGCTAAGGGAGCTGGGCATGTTTAGCCTGGAGAAGAGGAGGTTAAGGGGTGATATGATAGCTATGTTCAAATATATAAAAGGATGTCACATAGAGGAGGGAGAAAGGTTGTTTTGCTGCTGCTCCAGAGAAGCGGACACGGAGCAATGGATCCAAACTACAAGAAAGAAGATTCCACCTAAACATTAGGAAGAACTTCCTGACAGTAAGAGCTGTTTGACAGTGGAATTTGCTGCCAAGGAGTGTGGTGGAGTCTCCTTCTTTGGAGGTCTTTAAGCAGAGGCTTGACAACCATATGTCAGGAGTGCTCTGATGGTGTTTCCTGCTTGGCAGGGGGTTGAACTCAATGGCCCTTGTGGTCTCTTCCAACTCTATGATTCTATGATTCTATATCTACTACTGTGGGCAAGAATCCTGTAAAAGAAATGGAGTGGCCCTCATAGTCAACAAAAGAGTGGCAAAAGCTGTACTGGGATGCAATCTCAAAAATGATAGAATGATCTCGATACGAATCCAAGGCAGACC